CTTGCAGCTTGGAGATCTGGGTTCGAGGAGGCATCGTTTAGGGTTTAGGGTTTAGGGTTGGAGGTTTAGGGTTTAGGGTTTGAGGTTTAGGGTTTAGGGTTTGAGGTTTAGGGTTTATAGGGTTTGGGGTTTGGGGTTTAGGGTTTAGGGTTTAGGGTTTGGAGCTTAGGGTGTAGGGTTTTGGGGTTTAGGGCGTACGATTTAAGCTGCTGCTTAGGGTTCTATATTAGGGTCCTCATTTTCTCAAACTCGCAGTGTTGAGGGTTTAGGGCTTGGGGTCCTTCGGGTCTGGGGTCCAAGGTGGGGTGCAGGGTTTAGGGTTTAGGGTTTAGCTTTTTTTTTGGTTCCCAGGCCTTCGGGCTTAGTTTACAAAGTATTCGGCTGAGGCAAGGGTTTCAGGTGAAGGGATCGAAGGGATTCAGGGTTTGGATGGGCTTAGGGCCTAGGCTGTGAGCTCAAGAATGGAAGGAGACATGAAAGCAAAACATCGAAACGGCGAATATAACCTCGTAAAGAACCCTAAAAACCCTATAACAGCCCAGGAACCCCATCAAACCCAATCAAGATCCAATGTAGCATGACAGAAAACCCTATAAGCAAAAAAGAACCCATCGAAACCTTATGGAGAACCCTGTAGAAGCCCTGTCAAAGCCTAATACTAAACCAAAAGCTCCAGAAACCCATCGAAACCCCGAAAGACCCCCAAGGGCTCTGGCGATCTCGGTCTTCTCCTTCAGCTCGCGATCTCGGCTCTTGATCAGAATCTGCGGTCACAAGGACGGCCAAAATGGGCTTCCTTTCAAGGTACTATAAACTTCTATAACGGGGCAAGGACGGCCAAAATGGGCTTCCTTTCAAGGTACTATATTTTTTCTATAACGGGGTTGAAGTTAAAGGGTAAAACAGGATCTATAAACAGGGTCCCCCCCAAAGGGTACTATGTGGCTCTATAATATGAGGGTGTCCTTTAAGGACCTCCGTTAAGGGTTCCTATCAGGGCTCCTGAAGGGTACTAAAGGCGAAACTATAAGCGTTCCATAAGCGTCGTTTTAGAAGGGCTGCATCACGATTCCTACCGGGGCTCTATACATGGTTCCGACCAAGGCTTTATAGGGCATGCTTGAACTTCACCCACAGGTGTGATTGCAGGGATCTTGACAAGAAGGTTTAGGGTTTAGGGGTTTAGGGCTTGAAGGAAAGAAACTGAACAGCAAAGCTGCTAGCTAGCAGGCTCATGCTTTGGGGGCGCGGGGGTGGGGGCGGCGAGTTCAACGGATTTGTATTGTACGTGGCCTGTTGTCAAAACCCTTAAACCCTAAAGTCCCATATAAGCGCAAAAATCCTTGTTGATGATATACATCTTGCATTGCCTTAAGGACCCTAAACCATGGGAATTATGGAATATCTCTTATTATGGGTAATGCAGGATTTATATCATCAACCGTAGCAACTAGGATTACACACAATGCAACAGTACTTACAGTTGCTTATGGAAATTTTAAGACTTCGGGGCTTGTTTAGGGTTTACGGTTTTAAAGCTCAGGGTTTATAGGGCCTATACGAGCTGGAGGACTCATAGGACTTACAGGGCTTATGGGGGATTATGAATCATACGGTTCAGCGCTGAGGCTCTAAGGGTTCAGGGTTTAGGGTTTGGGGTTGACCCGTGTAGGGAACCTTTGTACCCGCCGGGCCCAACACCTAATAAGTAAGGAAGATGCCTTCAATGATGCGGGGCTTAATGTTACTAGAGGGGCCTTAATAATTAGAATAGGGCTTTGGGGCCCATCAGACGACAAGTATGAAAAGAAGCCCCCAAAAAATAGTAGGTAGTTATTCAGGCTTTACATCATGCTTCCTGGCGTCTGCCTTAGGTCAGAGACCTAGAGACCCCCATTAAAGCCTTACTATAAAACTTTATATACTCGTCAGAAAGCACCCTAGGGGTTGGACCAGCAACCTACTTGGGAGTTAAAGGATGGAACCCTGAGGAATAGCGGCAGATACTTGGGGGGGTTAAAGTATATTATAATGAGATTAGGGTTAAGGGTTTAGGGTTTAGGGTTTAGGATTTAGGGTTTAAGTATATTATAATGAGATTAAGGGACCCTACGGAATTGCAGTGCTGATTCCCGTGAGAAACCTTCAAACACCCTGTTTAGTAACCACTACAGGAATTCGTAAAGGGACCACTTAAAGAACCCCCGATTCCTGAACCCTCAACCGTTACAGGCCACCTAAAGATCCCTGCGCAGGATCCCTTAATTACTGCCAAACCCCAGACCCTGAACCCTAAA